TCTGTTGAGTCTTATCTCTAGTAAAGTTAACCAGATCTACTGGCTATTTATGAGACTAATTTGTGTTCAGCTGTCTCATCTTGTGATATAAGTGTCAATGCTTATCTTCCTTTAATTCATAAAGATTTTGCCTGGGCATTTACATTCAAAAGAATTCACCCATTTGTCGGGAAACTAGGTTTGAATCCACAGAGTACTTTTTTATGTGCTTTCATTTAACACCACTTCACTCTATTGCCTTTCTCTTTGTTTTATATTGCTCTCCTTCATGAAGGCTGCACTCTTTTTAATGTTATTTCTAATTAAATTGACCAAACCCTCTCTCTTTATCCATCAGCCAATATTTTTGTTGTTAGTGACTAATGCTCATCAAACTGAATGGCTTGGCTTTAGTGTCAGTGATTCTGCAGGCATAAAGGCTCACAAATTTTGACTTTCTCAATCCCTGATTCAAATAGTCAACTTTCCAACTCAGTTTCCAGACAACCCGAACCATTTACCTTCTCTACTCGACTTATGTCTTGTTTCTGATCCTAGCCTATACTTAGTTTCTCCACATTCACCTTTAAGTGCTTCTGATCACGGTTTAATCTCTCATTTTCTTCACCATCTGAATCCATCTATTATCGCACCTCTTACGCCTACCTTAAAGCTAATTTGAACTTTTTCTGTGATTTTCTTCGCGATGGCCTATGGGTAGAAATCTTTCGCCTTCCAGCTGACAAATGTGCTTCTTACATAACTTCGTAGATTCAGGCTGGCATGGAATCTTTCATTCCCTCTCAATGATTTCAGGTTAAGCCTCACTCTTCTCCATGATTTTTTTCACATTGTACTGCTGCAATTGAGATTTTTTCTCACTTTGTGCTGCTGCAGAAAATAATTCTCCAGAAAACAGACGTCTGTTTATTACTCCTAGAAACCATTGTAAAAAAGTTTTGTGTAACGCCAAAGCCCGCTTTTCTCAGGTTGTGAAATCTTGTATTTCATCACAAAAATTAGGCTCTTGTGACTTCTGGAGAATCTTTAATAATATCAATAATAAGTACAAATCTTTAATTCCACCTCTCTTGTATGGTTCAGACTTTGTCACCTCACCTAAAGACAAAGCTGAATTGTTTGCAAAGAACTTTTCATCAATATCATATCTTGATTACACTAATTGTGTTCTACCTGATTTAGCCATCAAACAGGTTGATATATTGCTTAACATTCATATCACTCCAGCTTCTGTATCTAAAGTGATTTCCTGCTTAAACTCTTCTACAGCTAGTGGTCCGGACAACATACCTGTTATAATCTCGCAGAACTGTTCTCCGAAGCTGTCGCCTATACTTTCAAAACTATTTAACAAGTGCTTGTCAGAATCTTGTTTTCCAGCCTATTGGAAAGCGGCATCTGTTATCCCTATTTTTAAAAATTCTGGAGAGCGATCTGATTTCTCTAACTATTGTCCCATTAGTCTTATTCCTATAATAAGCAAGATTTTTGAATCTTTAATTAACGAACACTTAATCTCTCATCTTGAATCTAATAACTTACTTTCTGATCATAAATATGAATTTCGATCTTCTTGTTCTACAGCTGATTTGCTAACAGTAATAGGTTTTATCATGCATTAGATAAAGGTGGAGAGGTTAAGGCCATCGCTCTTGACATTTCTAAAACTTTTGATAAAGCTTGGTATGCTAGTCTTCTCCATAAGCTTTCTTCTTACGGCGTGTCTAGTAACATCTTTAAGATTATTGAATCCTACCTTTCCAATCGTAGTATAAAAGTTGTCCTCAATGAACAGCACTCTTCAGGGGTTCCTCACGGTTCCTTGGCCCATCATTCTTTTTAATTTACATTAACAATCTTCCATATATTCTCACATCTATAGTGGCATTGTTTGCTGATGATACTACCATTTATTTTTGTTGTGATAAGAAGCCAACACTCTCTGATTGCTTGGAGGGGGCATTTTGAGCTTGAAAAGGATCTCACTTCTGCTACAGCATAGGGATCACAGTGGCTGGTGAACTTTAATTCAAATAAAACTCAATATTTTTTCACCCAATTGTTATCACAATAATTCAGATCTTCCTATATTTATAAACAGTAAAGTACTTGATAAGTCATCTACCCTTCATCTTCTAGGATTAACTCTTACTTCTGATCTTTCTTGGAAACCATATATCAAATCTATTGCAAAATTAGTATCTGCTAAGGTTGCATCTCTTTATCGAGCTCGACACTTTTTTACTCCGGATTCTATTCTTTATCTCAAATCTGGCCTTGTATGGAATACTGTTGCCATATCTAGGGCAAATCTTCTAATAAAGCCTTTTCTTTTTTAAATAAGGTGCAAAAACGCATTGTTAAACATAGTTGGACCTGCTTTTGCAGCCAACCTCTAACCATTATCACATCGTAATGTTGCTTCTCTTTCTCTTTTCTACAAATGTAGAAATTCTATAATGGGCACTATTTTAAAAAGCTAGTGTATCACTACTTTAAAGAGCTAGTGTATCTTGTCATTCAATTAAGTCTCACCCTTTTTCTGTCATTGTACTTAAGTACTTCAAAAACTCCTATTCCTTTAGATTTTTTCTTTAAATATCATTTCTTTGGAATTCGCTTCCTTCATATTGCTTTTCTGATTCATATAATTTGCAATCTTTTAGTCAATTGTTATCTTGCTCTAAAATCTTTATCTTTTCTCTTCCAGTAACTTCCAACTCTAATAGTCTTGCAGCCTTGTTGTAAGCAAAGATGATAAGAAAAAATATTAGTTGAAACTATTATACTTTATATACTATAATTATCATAAATAATGAGTATTATTAAGTTATAATTCAATTTTATTATTATCTTTATATAATTTATAAATACATTAAAATTGTAAATATTGCCCATACTTTATAACTAAAACAAATTACCTCAGGGATTACATTATAAAAAACAACATGAGTTTTAGAGAAAGCAGCTATTTCATTTAACCATGATATTGGTTCAAAATAAAAAGCTTCTGCTTCTTCAACATAGCTTAACTCACTTGATGGGTGGCATGTCAAAAATTGTAGAGAGACATTACGATGAAGGTAGCTAAAAACCAATAAAGAATAAAAAAAAAAGTATAGCTAAAAAACAAGATAAAAAAGAGTCCATAAAAACTAGATAGAAAGGTATAAAAAAAAAATAATGAAAATGAGAAACAAATAAAGACATAGGGTGAAAAAAAAAAATTAAAAAAAATTATATGATAAAGAATGAGAAAAGAGGAAAATAATCACCTAATAATCTAAAAATATATAATACAATATTTGAATATTAAAAATACAAACTTGAAAAAATATTTTATATTTCCTCCACACATTTTATAGGAAAACAAAAAACAAAAAAAACCTCTGCCTAAAATATATAATATATTTTTTATCATTACTAATATATAATTAAAATATATTTAATTTTTAAATTAATTTAGTTTTAGGAATCAGTAAAATACCTGTAATATGGAGTAGAATGACATGGCATAAGAAAGAGAACTTTTATACTTCTGCTGGATTGTGCACTCAAGTATTTCATCACATCGATTGATCCACGTTGATGTATCAAACAAAAGTATAATGCTACAAAAGTGTTTGAAATAACAAGAACAACAAGTAACATGTAAAACTTTTTTTTGGATATAAGAGTAGATAAAAAATTGAGCCCGTAACCAGCGTAAAAAGAAGCTATTGGAATTGTTGGCAGCATAAACCGAAATTCTTTATGAGAAATAAAGCTAGTGTAAAAAGAAAACATTAATAAAAAAAAGCTATATATATATACATATATATATATATATATATATATATATATATATATATATATATATATATATATATATATATATATATATATATATATATATATATATATATTTTTTTTTTTTTTTTTTTTTTTTTTACCCTTTTTTCAGATGATCTGAGGGGAGTGTTCCCATTATGCAATTTATTTTTTAATTTTGTTGTTGTTTGATCAGTAACTACAACATCAAGCATAATTTCTTACAGTATTTAAGATAATCTAGATAGGTAAGAAATAAATTAAAAAATATTTTAATATTTTAATATATTTAATATAAATAAAAAGACTAAAAAATTCAAAAAAAACAATTTTTTGAAATAAAATTTGATTTTCAGTTTGTTTTTTTATCTTTGCTAACATTTATTTTTCAGTAACCAATTGATTTAATATATAAAAATTGACTTATCACAAGTAAGTTTTTATATAAAATATAAAAACTTACTTGTGATAAGGCAGAAGTATTTCTTGAAGAAAAGTTTAAAGAAAATATCTCATGTTATAAACTTTTTACTGGCAAAAAGGTTTTGCAATACAAGCCTTCTCAGGAGATATGTACGGTTACACACTTTATATGACCACAATTTTTTTGATAACTCGGCCACAGTTTTTTTGCTAAATGATCTAAAAAAACCAAACTAACTTAAGGAGAAAAATTTAAAAAAAAAAAAAAAAACTGAAAAGAGAAACAAACTTAACAAATGATAAAAAAAAAGAACAAACCAAAGAAAATCACGGCTGTTTCAGAGTGAGCTTTATGGCTTCTTGTTTTTTTTTGGAAAATATTGACTTAGGGGGTGTTACTAAAACATTTATAACTTTTGAAATATTTGAGATACTTTTGTTCTGTAAAAAGATTTAAAACAACAATAAAATGTTTTATCATACGACCTTTAATACAATAGTAAAAAAACTTCTTTTATTTAATAAAAAACGCGACAAATGATGAACTTGGATAAATTTTAGTAATTTGTTGTTACTTTTTATCAAAAAAAAATCAGAAAAATATATTTCTGATAATTATAACCACATACACTCGTTGTTTAACTATTATTAAAATAAAAAAACCTTACTTAATTGTTAAAGGTTAACTAAAACAGTCTAATTGATGTCTGCAAGCAAACCATTTTTTTTGCAAAATTATGAAAGATGTTGCTTAAAGGAGGATTAACTTTTAATTGAGTACGTTTTTAAATATGAAAATAATTCACTAAGTTGGTAAATTCAATGCATTACAAAATAAAGGCAGATTTTGAAATATTTAGTTTTAAAATGTTAAGTTAAAGCCTTTAAAAAATTTAAGCGATTACTTTCTATGCAAACAGTTTTAATAATATAGTGAAAGGTTTATTGAATCAATCTCTTCTCACAAAAAATTAAACATTTGTTTAAAAATACAACTAGCTAATTTAAACTGTTTGATAATGTGTTTTTATTCTCATAAAAAACTGTTTTATAATAAGTTGACCCACTGATAAGTTCTTTAAGTAGAAAACGACCTTTGTACACCTAGTTGATAATAAATCCAGGCTCAATTTTAAACCAGAAGAACAGTTTTTGTTCAACAGACTCACAATGGTGACAATAACTTTAACATTTTCTTTATTTAAACTGTATCTTTTAACTAACTTGTTATTTATGAGTCTTAAATTCTATTCTTTAACCAGAAAAAAAGGTATGTTGAGCAGAGGTACTGCAGAGGTAGAACTAACTTCTGATGATAATAATCGAATGGGCATCTAATATTTAAACTAAATGTTACATATAATAAAATACCATACATTTGTTAAATTAACTACACAAACAAATATTTTGTATCATAGCCAACAAACATACTAGTTGCTCTGATTATAAGTTAAAGTAGTAAGCTATATTTTTACACCAATTTAATCCTAGACTTATATACCATTCTTTAACCTAGATGGTTGGATAGGTATAATTAACTTGTGAAGATAAGAATAAAGTGGGCACCTACCTAATATATAAAATCAATATAATAGAAAACAATAAATATTTTAAAGTAACATTATACAGGCATGATAAAACAAAATAAAATTTTCTTATTTACTATTTAAGGACCTTAGATATTATATCTCAGATATAAAAAATATTTTTTCATTAAATTTTTAATTATTTAGACTAAATTTTATGACCACAAACAAGACAAGGCCTTGTCTATAAAACAAATTTTTATAAACAAGTTCATGCATTTTTTGCGTGATTCTTTTGGAAAGCAAGCATGAAACTCGATAGCAAATAAATTTATATATTGATGAAGCTCAGTAATTTCGGCATCAGAAAGAAATTTTCGCTTAAAAAGAATAGGTTGCAACTTATTAAAAACACTAAACACACGTACAAATCTATTTTTATTAGCTTTATCATCAATAACACTACAAAGTTTATAGTGGTTTCTTAAAACTATTTTGCAATGATTACCTACAAACACATTACCATGATACGCTTGCTGCTCAACCTTCATATCTTCAAGGGCCTTATGGACTTCACAGTAACATGTTCTTTATTGACATGCATTGTCCGTATTTCTTATTATTGTCTTATCTTGGGCTCAGATGGAAGAATCCTTGCACCAAGATTACACAGAATACGTCTTAGCCTACGGAATTCAGCCGTGGGCATCCTTAATTGGCTCTGCAGCTCTACAGCATCAGAAACACTTAACTGCCTAACTAAACCTAACTTATTTGCAACACAACAAAACATAGACTTATCACAAGACAAAGAATCACAAAACAACATAGACAAATCACTTTCTAAATCTGAACAAGCTAATAATCGAAGGAATATAAAAGCAAGTTTAGATTGTCTAGCTGCAGCATGCCTACCTAACTTAGAATAAGGTTTACCATGTCCTAACTTAATGTAAATATATTTTTTACCAACTATTGGCCTTTTAACTGATATAGTCTGTGGATTACTTAATTTAAATCCACAGAACAATTCAGAGGAACCAATGTTGTCATAGTCTAAATAAGAATCAACAACAACTAAATCCTTATCACCGCTTAGAAGACATTTGCAAATTTGACAACATTCCGGTTTAAATCACTGATTTTTGCATTGTTTTTTTCAAATTTAATTTTTTTTAGCAATCTTACATTTTTGGCACGAGCAGATGCAAATTTACGCTGTGCTGTTTTGATTTTTTTTTTTAAATAAGTTGGAACTTCTCCTCCTGTTTTAGCCTAATACTCATAGCCTCTACTTGAGAACATAATGAGTTACAATGTGTACTAAGAGCCTCATTTTTAGAATTTAAATTACAAATTTCAGCTTCCAACTTTAATATTTTCTTTTTTAATTTCTCTATTTGCTCTACATTTGCTATATTTTCAGAAGGTAATTGGTCAACTTGACTACTTAGTTCCTTATTCCTATTTAGAAATGAAAATTCATCTGCATCTGCTGACTTTTTTTTTTTTTCATTTGTAGAGCAGGAGACAGTTGCATTTTAAAAAAGACTTTGTTTTTTGAAGCTTTATAATTGTTTTTAAAAAGTTTTTTTTTGCGTATTAAATTTTGGCACATATTATCGAACTCATCAAAACTAGGCAAATTAAAATCAATTGGCAATATAAAGCTCATTAAACTAAACAATGCTTTTGACTTAAAAACTGACATTAAAATTAAAATTACATTGTTAGTCATTTTATCGATGCTAATTAATTGCTTGACAAATGGAAAGTTACTCATTTTCCCAACTATCGTCCCATTCAATCCATTCTATTAATAGTTTCCTTTCAGTAGAATACATAATGATAAATAAATCTTGTAATAAAAATATAACACAAACAATGCAAACAAAATAATATTTATTGACAAATAGATGAACAAAATATAATAGGATTAAAAAACTTATCTGATGTTTGTTGACTACTCACAAGGAAGAAAATTGGCCAAACTTTGTTTATTTTATACATCAAAATTTGTCTCGCTAAGAAAATTGTTTTCATAAAATTCATTACATATTGGGTTGGGACGTACAGTATTTAAGGCCACGTGATTGTTTTAAAATGTAAACAATATTTTGCAAAAAAAATTAGAAAAATTTGTTTCTAAACTAGCCAAGTTTGAAAACATATGTCTTAACATAGCTGGAGGTACAGAAAACAATTTTTTGATTTTCATATGCAGAAAGGGTTGAAATTTCAATAATTTGGTGCGGATTACAAAAATAATGCAATTTTCATTATTTAATAATAAAAATAAAATAATATAAATGCATTAAAAAATAATTAAAAATAAATAAATAAGCAATCCGCACCAAAAATTAGATAGAATAGACATTTATTTATATATGTTCCAAATTTCAACCATTAAGCATGTAGCTATGTTAGGAAATCTTAGTTGACCCAAGACAGGTTTTCCGTAAAAATCACAAAAAACAGAAATGTGATCCCAAATCATTAGCAATATCTTAACAATATTTTATTATAGCCCGTTTAATGTAAATATTTATTAAATAACAAAAGGTAGATCTTTTATGTTTTTTTTATTTGAAGATGAAAGCATTTATAGAAAAAAAATACTTTTATTTTAAAGTTAGTGAATTTTTATATTTTTTTATGCGGAAATACTTTTTTTTTGATAAACTCATGACGTCACGCTCACTTTTACATAGAGTGAAACAGCCGTGAAATAAAAGCATAAAACTAATATATTTTTTAATTTAGAAGATTTTTAATGAATAGCTCAAACTTAATTAATTTAATTTAAAAGCGTTAAGCATTGGATGATGTTCATATCCTGCTAACGGATAATTATTTTTAATGCTTTATTTGCTTTGTAGACATTTAAAAATATTAAAGTTTCAAAATTTTAAACAATTAAGATTTAGAGTAATTAAGCTTGGACTTTAACTATTCAATTTTTTTTTAATTCTTTGTAGTGAAACCCTTTTAAATTAAAATAAAAACA